TGGGACACTGTTGTTGAGATTCCGAAGTACAGACACGATACTCATTTTTCATTGGATGACAGATGTCCTTTATAGTTAAGTTTTCGAACATTGTAAACGTTTACATTTAACCTAGCACTTATTGTTACTTTATGGTTTTAGCATTCAGCCGCATACCACTTTGTGCTGATTCGGCGCAATTTATTGGTCGAATTGTTTGATCAGATGCCACAGACATAGGCGAAACTGATGGAATGAATTTACAAGGGGACAAAACGTGAAATTGCATTTTCTAATTCAGGAATCACTACCTTGAGCTGTCATCGTAGGGATTACAGTGTTCTTCAAGAGAAAGAGCTCCTTATTTTGCTGATTGTTATGCGTCGGAACGTTGTAACGAAGCTCGGCAAATAACTTACTATGAATAATCGACGCAGCTCTCGATAATTAGCATTACCTTTACTGACTTTGTTAGACGTATGATATCGTGATGTCGAATTATTCGTTGTCACCGAAATTGTCAGCAACGTAGCTGTGGGAGTAGAAGTACAAGTCACCTAGTACAGCACAGGAGCCACAAGACACTTATCGTCATTCACTGAAATATCATATGTAATGGTTTACGCTCGTACAACCATTTCACGTAATTGTCCCGACTGTGATCGAAAATGAAATCGGTATATTAGACAGGCTACATGAGCTTGGAAATTCAAATGACAGGCACAAAGGCTACGTAAAATCTTCCAATGATCTCATTGTCACAAACAGCCTAATCGACGTCATGCGATGCTGTCCGTAAACATTCTGAAAGTGCGCTATTACATGGACATTTCAGAAACGATCATGGAGATGTTGAAGATGTTGGATTGCAAATAAAACTGTCGAAGTTATTCACAGGCCGGCCTGAGGCCTGATTTGGCTACAGAGAAACATCTTCTCGCAGTTGCTCACTGATTTTAGACGCACTGAATCTCAGACCAATATCAAAGTCGTGTAAAGTGGAGAAGCTCTGCTTGCGACCAGGAATATGACCACTGCAGCAACATCGCAGTGCTGAATATCGACCTCATACACAGTCTCAGTCGAGTTATAAATACTTAATCTAAACTACTATAGTTTAAGGACAGACGGGAAGCCGTTTAAAAAACGGACAGAAAAGCAGATCTGTTCTGTATCGAGTATGGTTAAATGAACCCAGTTCAAAAGTTTATTTTTCAAAGCTTCCTGTACCACTCCCTTCGCGATTTCATTTGCGGCTTTTCTGTTTGGGGACCTTGTGACAGGCCTTTGGTTGCCTTCGACTGTGTATGTAGCTCTCAGGATCGTTGCTCTATCGGGTTCTTTAACCCATTATTAGTGAAATTTTTGAAAGTATTCGTATCTGAAGAATATGATTATTATTTAAAATTCTGACTTAAAATATGATTTTCTGTTGTTTTTTCATCCCCTAAGTGCTTCTGATTTTGCTTCATTTCCTTCACTGTCAAAGTATGAAATTGTGCTGGTACATATATGTGTCAGTAGTACAGACAGACAGAAATTTAGTAATGTAGAACAATGTTAAAACATACATTATCAGGAAAAATCTCATTAGTAGCTTCTGTTTCTCATAAATACAAATATTAATGCTTCGGCATTTTACAATCACAGAAAAATTCATGTATTTTATGGTAAAACGTTCAACACTCGCGTATAGCCCCATATTCCATGTCACACATTGGGTTTGAACCCTTTTATTACATTCCCAGCACACCGACCCCTCCGCCAGTGTTCTTGGCACTATGACCAGTGCCATAGTAGATTGTTGCCTTGTTGCTCACTGCACTTAAATGTCGACTTCCACTTTTTGGTAGAGTTCCCAGTAGCTTGAGATATGACAACGTGACGGAAATTCGATCTGTGACCGTAATACTTGATCTTCAATGTAGATACCAGGAATTTACCATTACTGAATCGATTATCGAAGTGAAGAGAGGCCACCACTATCTTTTCAGACGGATAGAGATGCAGAACGTACTTACAGCTTGGTCCATCAGGTCAACGCCACAACCGTGTAATTGTTACATGCTGCAGTACTGACGGGTTGACCAACTTTAATATACTGCTTGTGTGTGGTAAGTAAACCCGCGCTTTACGTTACTAGTTTTTGCCGCTGGAAACTGAGTTAAGGCAACAGTGACAGCTGCAGTGTCTAGCCGTGTGGGAACACAGATTTTTCTCTCTTCGTCTCGCACTCTATGTATCCGCATTCAAGTGTCTTTAGTTGCTTGGCTGGCTTGAGCGAGATACGGACAGCGGGATCTGAAGTTTCTTTTTTCGACTTGCTCCAGTGCCATGTATTGTCAAATGCAAGAGCAGTGCGGGGCTACAAGAGGTCGAAATAAAACGACACTGATCTACCTTCAGGCTCAGCTGAAATCTGACAGATGAAAGCAAAAGTGATGGACGTTCATGGCCATCACAAATTCGACGTCCAGATGACAAAACTGTTTCCGCCGGAATAGCAAGTTGACGATCACTCAATATGTCCAATGCAGCAGACGTATCCTCCTCACCATTGTTCTCACCTGTTTGAACTGCTGCATCTGGCGATTCTGTAAATATTTTTGCAGACTTCATTTTCTTCTTTGGCTTGAAGCGCTTCGAGAATATATAATTTCGTTAAAGCCCAAGAAAAAATTGGTAAAACCTAAATACTGTACGTATTTTAGTTTGTTTACATTGTGAATGAACATTCCATTTGGCAGGTCTGGTGATACAATAATGGACTAATACAGATAAATAACTTTTTGAAGGAAATAAAACATGACTACATGGAAAAAATTATATAGATGTCTAAAACATGATACTTTAGAGGTGGAATTGTCCAAGATTCGAAACAGTACATGTAATAAAGATTATACATACGAGAAGCACTTATCCCTTACTGTGCCACATGGCTGTAAACAGTCGCGTAGTCAGCTGTGTGAGACATCTACCAAGTAGACAGAAATTATCACTGCCACGACATATCGTCATTTCCTTTGGACTAATTAATCTTGGCCTGTGAAGTGAACAGAATATTTTTTATAAACAAAAAAATATTTACCTCGGAAACCGTCCGTACATTATGCAACCGTTGGACCATAATGTGTTACTTTTATCTCATTGTTACATCACTACGGGTAGTATAAGTGAATTCTATCATCGATGTTTCTTTCTTTCTGCTAGCAGCGGGTTCCTTCTATTCAGGTAATTTCCAAATCACTGCTTCTACTTCGCACTTTGCTAACATATCCCTGTCAGGTCGGCTGAAAACGTGAACGCCGCCGCGTAACCCCGGGTAGTTGGTTTCTGGTCAATCGGCCCATGAATAAATCCTGCGCCCACTGCGATAATCCAACCATGCGACAGAGTTCTACGTCAATCTCTTTCCTTCAGAAATGCCTGCGTAAAAATGATGTTGATTCTGATGCCTTTTATGTCGGGAAATTAACGATGTGCTTGTCTTCTCGAACCTGATGCATATTTGACCTGTGGACCTTTTACGAAGAAGATCAATGAGAATCGTTTCTCAAACACGGCACCATCGAAGATCCCCGTTTCAAAGTCATTGTTGTTGCCAGTGGCGGTCGTAAGCGTCACATGGCTTCGAATTCCTCTATAGAAGAAGGACAGTTTGGATGATTTTATATCAGTCTCAGTCGATGATGAGAGCTATCGGTTCATCTTTTCCGTAGTGTCAACCCCAAGTGCCGTATTTCTCGAACGCAATATCTGCAGTCAGATAGCCAGTACAGTAGTAGTCTCATGCTTGGTACCTATCAGGTGTTAATAATGTTTATCCTTACCATGGTAACAGTGGTGAGTATGGTGATGGCAATTTTGACGATGGCCGTAATGACGAAGAATGTCGACAG